AATATTAATGTGTATAGTGTAAAAACAGATGCTTTTGTAATTGATACATGCAATGAAGAAAAAACAAAGCAATTATTAGAATTTCATGATGATATAGGAGGTTGGAAAGTTTCAAAGCAGAGAGATGAAATTAATTTACCTACGGTAAAATTTAACGTTGTAAATAATGAATTAATAAAAATACCAGTTTATGAAAGTAAAACTATTGATATTAAAGATGAATACGACACTGATAACATTATAGAGATTGTTAAACAGAATAATCCTATTATGATCAGAGGTGAACTACCGGGCACAGGAAAATCATATATATGTCAAAAAATGGTTGATAAAAACTATAAGGTAATTTTTATTTGTCCTACTAATTAACTATTACAGGCATTTGAAGGAGAAGCAATGACGATAAATATATTCTTTGGTATTAATTATGGAGATGCTAAATTAGAACCATTTGATTTTACAGAATTTGATGTAATAGTATTTGATGAAATCTATTTTAGTAATTTAAATATATACTGGAGAATAAAACAATTTGTGGAACAGAATAAGCACAACAAAATTACAATAGCAACAGGAGACACCAAGCAATTAAAACCAGTGCAAGAAACAAATACTCAAGACTATGAATTATACACTGACAATATTATAGATAATATTTTTACACATAATATAACATTAAAAGAATGTAAGAGACTTAACACACAGGAAGATAAGGATAAACTCAAGAATATAAAATATGGTATTTTTATTAATAAATTACCAATTAAAACTATTATTGAAAAATAATTTTGAATACACCACAGACATAAGTAGTTCCAAAAACAACATAGCATTTTTGAATACAACCTGTAAAAATGTATCAAATGAAATTAGAAAGTTAGAAAATAGAAAGGCTGAATATGAAGTAGGAGAATTTTTAGTTTGTAGAGAATATACTAAAACTAAAACGTCAGTTTTTAATGTAAATTTCAAATATAAAATAGTTCATATTGGAAGTGATGGAATATTTACATTAAAAAATGTAAAAACCGAAATTTTACAATCCGTAGAAGTTGCTAAAATAAGAAGCAATTTTATATTTTCTTCTTGCTCTACATGTCATTCTACTCAAGGTAGTAGCATTGATGACACCATAACAATTTTTGATTATAATCATTTTTTGGTAAAGAATTATCCAGAATGGATTTTTACAGCGGTAACACGTGCTCGTGATTTAAACAAAGTCAAATTTTATAAATATACAAAGGATGTTGATGATGTATTTAATCAAAAATGTATTATGAGTTATTTTGCAAGGAAAATTTTGAATTATAAGGAACAAGACAGGAAAGCAAAAAGAAGCATACCTAGAGAAGGTTATGTAAATACTCAACGGTTTCTAGATAATATAAATAATCAATGTAATTACTGCGGATGTGGTTTTACTATTGATATGAAAAATGGTAATATCATTACAAATCTAACAGCACAACGAAAAGATAATGAATTAACTCATACAATAGAAAATATCATCCCATTTTGTAAACTATGAAATTGTAGTTGTAAATGATTATATATTTTTTTATTTAATTATGATAATATAATTTTAATTTTAATTTATTAATTTAATTTTAATTTATAATTAAATTTCTTGTAAAAAGTATTTAAAGAAATATTACCTACATATATTATATAGCGAGATGATGAAAACCAAAATCAATAGTTATATCAACAAAAAATGCTATGATTGTTGCCACTTCAAAAAGGAAAATATAGAATTGTATAAACTGAATTTACATGACGGAATAGTGAATAATATTATTGATTATGCATTGGGCGAAGAAGATGTATGTAGAACTTGTAGAAGATGGCGACGATATCAAAATATAATAGAAAATATTTTGGAGATTAAAAAATAGATAAAAGAAATGTTGAAGATGACATTTTAATATTTTTAACTGTGTACGGAAGACCACCTTATAGTTATGTTAGAATATTTCTAAAAATTAGTAAGAAAAATATAAAATGATTGAAGGTATATTATGGATGTTGACCTATTACAGTAGGGAAGGTTTTGATGTAAAAGAAGACATTAAAACATATATTGGAAGTAAAAAGTTTAATGTTAAAAATACAGTGAGAGATATTAATATTATTTTAAAAATAATGCATGAAAGACATAAGTTATATATACAACTTAGTAGTCATCAATTAAATTATTATCCTGAACTTAAATTATGAAATTTTATCTACATAACCTAGTTTAATTTTAATTTATTAATTTAATTTTAATCTAAAATTAAAATTCTTGTAAAAGTATTGAAAGAAATATTTTATAATACTATTATATAGTGTGATGAGTGATACAGTCCATGATGCTAAAAATATATTTAAAAAAAGTTTATGAGTTATAAATGTGGAGACTGTGAAATGCTAAAATTACCAATTGAACGGGGTTTTACAAATGGCGTTTGTAATAATATTTGTCAATATATGATATGCAATAATTGCAATAGAATTATAAAAAAAATGATGATATGAATAACAAGGATATTGATATTATAAATAATGAAGCTATTGATGATGATTTAGAAATATTTGTATTTATTGAAATGAATAATTTCTTAACTATAGAAGGGTTTGATAATTTATTATATCAGGGCGATGATGAAGGAAACGCTAATGACTGTATTTTTAAGTATTATAGCATGGTAAAAAGATTATACAAAATGTCTTCTAGCATTAAACGTTTAAAATATGAAACATTGAATGATAATGACCTTGATTTTTTACATGAGGTTTTAAATGATCGGTATAAAACTCACGAACTTAGATATACAATAACACGTGCAATTGGAATAATGGGAATGCATGCGCAGATCCAGATACCGATGCATGGGCGAAGTGGTTGGAACAGGCTCTTGGGTTGAACCCAGACCTGAATATGCTTAGCGATTCAGGCGGCGACAGATTTGCTACGATAGATATTAAGATGGCCATGGGTATGCAGAACATGCTAAAACAAGCACCTGACAAAGCCAAAGACGTATACCTCGATGCTACGCGGCACTCGGAACTACGACATCAACAAGGGGTGATCGTGAAGGGACGAGAGTTGGTGGCATTGGTTATGCAATCATTCAGAACATCCGATAGAACGGATCTTGTCTACCACATCGAGCATCTATTCAACCTTGACTTTCCTGGAGACAAGAACTTGGTTATGTTCAGGAACAAATGGTATGATTTACAAATAAGAAGTAATATTTATAATGAAACAACGTGTGATAAAATAATAGAAAGAATTAAGAAAGAATGGTGCCCGTAAAAACCGAATGAACCAGACCTTGCCCATAATATGTCTACAAAATTTGTGATAAAATTCATTGTAAAATAATTTATCATATTTTTTGGAATATTATTTTTTGAAAATTTATTTTTAATTTTTTTTTGTAAAATTTATTGTTTATTTATTTTTGTAAAATTTATTTTTTAAAATTTGTTTTTTTAAATTTTGTAAAAATTATTTTTTTTAAAATTTATTTTTTAAATTTTTTGTAAAATTTATTTTTTAAAATTTTGTAAATGAAAATATATTTTTAAAGTTTTGTAAATTTTACTTTTTAAAATATGGATGAACTTACTAGGAAATTACCTGCTTTAAAATGTTGATTTTTGAAAATGTGCTTTTTGAGGTGCTGTTTTAAAATGTTGCTAAAAGTGTAGGGATGACCCTAGGTTTTTTTATAGAAAAAAGATGGGCAAGGTCTAGTCTAACTCAGCTGCCCTGCGGTGACGTGCGTGCCGTCAGTCACTTCTCCGTTGTCCAGGCTCTCTCTTTAGAGGGCGTTTCCCAAATGGATTCTATTCTACCTGAGAGGCTCCCAGCACTCGTCCGTCCAGCATTTGACCTCGTCCTGCGAAGGATTCGAAGTCTAAAACGCTGCGTGCAATTTGGCTCCAGGTTGCATTTCAAGCGAGCCAACCTTTGCAGGGCTAAGAAAAAACCCAAAAAAAAAAGAAAACAAGGGGTCCCAAAAAAAGGGGTCCCCGAAAAAAAGGGAAAAGGGGTTTCCTTTGGCAAAGCTTGACATCGCTTGAAATGCAACCTGGAGCCAAATTGCGGCGCGTATCTAGGGGTCATTATTTTGCAGCCACACGCCTGCGCGCAGCGTTTTAGACTTCGAATCCTTCGCAGGACGAGGTCAAATGCTGGACGGACGAGTGGTGGGAGCCTCTCAGGTAGAATAGAATCCATTTAGGAAACACGGTGCCGCGTACGCCAAGCCGCTGAACCCCCACAGTCCCCGGGCTCCTTGCTTTCTGTGCTATATGTGCTATATGGGTCTTACACGCCAAGCCGCTGAACCTCCACTCTCCCCCGGGCTCCTTGCTATATGTGCTATATGTGCTATATGGGTCTTACACGCCAAGCCGCGGAACCTCCACTCTCCCCCAGCTCCTTGCTATATGTACTATATGTGCTATATTATTCCGTACGCGCGAAAATCTGTAGTATATGTGCTATATAGGGCCATATAGCACATATAGCACATATAGCAAGGACCCGGGGGAGAGTGGAGGTTCAGTGGCTTGCCTTGTAAGAGCCATATAGCACATATAGCACATATAGCACATATAGCACATATAGCAAGGACCCGGCGGTGCCTGCCGCGCCTGGCATAGAAGCCTCCCTGGCGCGCCACGAGCCACGCCAGCCCGCCGACGTGGCTTCGATGCCGAGCGCGCCGCGTCCGTGATTGCTGTCTCTGTCTTGCCCAGCTTGTCACTGTTTTCCTTAGCGTACCCGGCCGTTTTTTGGTCGGAAGTGTTGTGGAAAAAAGGAAGTTTTTTTTGCGCGCTTGCGGTGATGCTGGCGGGGATGCTACAGGGATGCTCGCGCTGGATGTTGATTGTCATGAGTTCGCCATGGATGTGTTTTGAGTTGTTCCGGGGATTTTGCATGAATTGTCACTTGATTTTTTATTGTTTCAGCGGCGTGTCACTTGCTATTTCAACGCAGCCGTTTGTGCTGCGAAGCTTCTTCTTGACTGCTCGTATCAGGGTCGGGCTCGGGTTGGCGGGGGTCTCAGTCTCGCCGTCTCATTTGGAATCTTTCTCTGCAGCACACCAGGTCATGAGTCGGCATGATCAAGGGCATTGGTCGTGGTCAGGCGTGGTTGTTTTTTTGCTTGAGGCTGAAGGCGTGTCAAGACGTGGGTTTGCGATTGCAGGAAACAAGTATCGCTCGGCGTCCGGAGCTCTGAACCAGCTGAAGAAGAAAACCCAGAAGGCAGAAGAAGAGCACAAGCAGGAGAAGGAGGAGAGTGAGAAAGTTTTGCACAGCTTCGCAGCTGCCAACGCCCTTCTGAAGCAGAGGGAAACCGAGCTGCTGAGCGAGAACTCGCAACTCAAGGCGCTCTGCTAGCCACGGATCTTTTTTTTCAATGCGCCTTGTCACAGGTTCAAGCGGCGCAGCTCCAGGCGCGCATGTTTGTTGCAGTACCAACCCCTTTTTTTCCCCCTCTTTCCGTTTTTTTTGGGTTCCTCTGGAGGACACTGTGCAGCATCTGAAAGAGACGAATGCAAAGGACGCTCAAACGTCCCAGGCTGTTGGCTTGAAGTGTTACTGTTCTTTCTTACGAGCTTTTGTCGTTTGCAGGCTCGGCGTCAAGAGTATTCCGCCAAGATTGCACTGATGACCGCAAAACTCCAGGCCCTCTCATCACCGTCAAGCGTTGTGTTCTTGTGTTTCACGCAGGACACAGATGGTAAACTGGACCTCTCCGCCGAGCTCGCTCGGAACCGCAAGGCGCAGAACGCTGATTTGCAAAGGCAGAACAAGGCCCGGGCTTCGGATTGCCTGTTAATTTCGCAACTGGCGTTGTTTCAGGACTTGGAGAAAAAACTGAAAGATGCCCAACAGCGGGCTGCGCTGCTTGCAAACGGCATAATTGCACGCTCCTGTTGCAAGGCTCGTGCCGAATTGGAGATCGTTGGCATGGAGGAGCCCAAACGGCGTTCCAAGAAGGCCAAGGTGGGCATTTGTTTTCCTCTTTGTTGCGCTTGCCCATTCTCAAGCTGCGCAGGCTGAGTAGTCGCGCGCCAACAGATGCTGTTGCCCTTGCAAAAAAACATGACGTGTCTTCGAGACGGGTTTGGCATGCTTGTGCGTTTGACGGATTGTGCGTTGACATGTTGGAGTTGTTGTTGACATCGGCAGACTTGCAGGCTCCGTCGCAGGAGCGGCTCCGTTACAGGAGCAAGGAAGGCTCCGTCACAGGAGCGGCTCCGTTACAGGAGCGAGGAACGGCTCCGTCACAGGAGCGGCTCCGTCACAGGAGCAGTTGCAGGCTCCGTCGCAGGCTCCGTCACAGGAGCGAGGAACGGCTCCGTCACAGGAGCAGTTGCAGGCTCCGTCACAGGAGCAGTTGCACGGTGCTGACTTGAACGCACATCCGCCGTGGCTCGCCCAACGACCCCTTAGTACTGGCTTGCCCAACCTTGTTTGATGGCTTGCCCAACGACCCCTTAGTACTGGCTTGCGATGGCTCGCCCAACCTTGTTTGATGGCTTGCCCGACGTGGAGGCTTCGATACCAAGCGCGCCACATTCCTGCCCGGCATAGAGGCCTCCCGGCCGCGCCACCTGCCCGGCATAGAAGCCTCCGCCCTCCTGCCCGGCATCGGAGCCACCTTGTTGTCCCGGGCACCGAATTCCTTCAACATGTCGGATTGACGGTCGAGCCTCTGCAGAAAGTGCCTGGCATCCTCACAAAAAGATGTCGAGGTTGTCCCCCCACAGGACAACCTCGACATGTTTTTTCCTGGGAAGAATTCCGACCTTGGCGCGGGCTCGGCAGGAGGCTTCTATGCCAGGCAGGTGGCGCGGCTGGGTCAGGGGAATGCTTCTCGCACTTGGTCTGCAATGAAGAATGACGAGAATTTCAACATCTGGCCGCGCCAGCCCGCCGACACGGAGGCACGCAGCTGATGATGTCTTGTATGTTATCACCAACTACGAAGCAGTGTCCGATTATGTCGGACACTGGCTCCATCGTGCGCAGGTCACATTCCTGCCCGGCATTCGGAGGCTTCGATACCTAGCGCGCCACATTCCTGCCGCGCCTGCCTGGCATAGAAGCCTCCCGGCCGCGCCACCTGCCCGGCATAGAAGCCTCAACCCGGCCGCGCTTGCGCCACCCGAGGTCCAGGAAAAAAAATCCAGTTGTCCCGTGGGGGGACGACTGTAGGGAAAAAAATTTCCAGTTGTCCCGTGGGGGGACGACTGTAGGGAAAAAAATTCCAGTTGTCGCGTGTGTAGCACGCTTTTTATTTGACCGGTGAGGTCTTGCGATTTGACCGGCGCCACCGGTCAAATCGATTGAGTCACATTGTAGCCGCGCTACTTCCGAAAATACCCTGGCGCGGGCCTGCGGGCCTGGTGCGGGCCTGGAGCGGGCTCGCTCCAAAACCAACAAGTGTCGCTTGTGCTTTCAAGGTCACCCACTGTGACACGTACTTGCGGAAACTTGCGCCGAAGAGGGGTTGGTGCGTTTGACGCACCAACAAGCGGTGACGCCTGTGAGGGGGTGGTGCGTCAAACGCACTACTCCGAACGGCCGGAATGCCACGAAGGACCTGTGAGGGGTTGGTACGTTTGACGTACCGCCAAGCGCTTAGCTCCTTGGCCGACTACTGGACTAAGGCGGCGAAAACATATGTAAAGGCACGACCCGGGCTCCCTGCGTCCAGGGACCGTTTTGGGGCAAAGAAAAAACTTTGATCACACTCAAGTTGGAATTGCCTGATCCTGATCGAGCGAAAAAAACTGGGAGAAAAAAAGGTTTTAAGACATTGCGCAGGCTGGGGGGGAATTCCCGGAGCCTGCTCAGCTCCTTAGGTTTGGGGTGCTCGGGAAACCAACGGGTTGGGCGAACCAATCAAATGAGCGGGGCTGGCATGGGCAACCCGTGCAAAACCGTGCAAAAAAGCTATTCCTCCAGGGTGTACATGTATAGCATTTTGTTGCGCAAAAACCGTGCAAATGTCCCTGGGTTTGGCTCCACTCTCCCCCAGCTCCATGCTATATGTGCTATATGTGCTATATGGACGCCAACCCGCTGAACCTCCACTCTCCCCCGGTCCTTGCTATACGTGCTATATGTGCTATATGGGTCTTACACGCCAAGCCGCTGAGCCTCCACTCTCCCCAGCTCCATGCTATGTGTGCTATATGTGCTATATTATTCTGCACGCGTGTTAAAATATACTATATGTGCTATACAATGCATATTTGGTACATGTTGGAGATGCTATGTGTATAGTATACAGGCTTCTATACCATATAGCACGTATAGCACATATAGCATGGAGCTGGGGGAGAGTGGAGGTTCAGCGGCTTGCCTTGTAAGACCCATATAGCACAAATAATACATATAGCATGGGCCCGGGGGAGAGTGGAGGTTCAGCGGGTTGGGGGCCATATAGCACATATAGCACATATAGCATGGAGCTGGGGGAGAGTGGAGGTTCAGCGGGTTGGGGGTCATATTGCAGCGCGTCGCCCAACTGTGCGTCTTTGGGCAAGGCGGCCTCACGAGCGTGCCCGGCAAGGGTGCAGTGTGCGCGCTTGCAACGATCTGTGCGGAATGCGTTTGGTCGGGCTTCTGCCTGGTCTGTGCCCTCAAAAGGCAGGCCCCGGCTGTGTCGCGAATTACTGGCCGTTGTACAAAGCCCTCAAACTCTCCGCCATGGAGATCGCCTTGTCCCGAACTTTCGCTTCTCGCGCACAGAGTCCTTGACACACTGCGCCGTCACTTCCACGAGGATGCAGCGCTTCAGCACCGCGCGCGTGTCCGCGTCAAAGACCTTGTCAAGCGGGCGAGCGCGCCACTCAAACCCTTCGATGATCCTGAACGTCTCCGCAGGCACCTTCACGTCGTTGTAGCGACATTTGATGGTCGCTGGCAAATCGGGCGACAGACCGAGGAGATGCTTCAGCGTGTCCACTCCCCCGCTTTGGGCGCCGATGTTGCTGCTGCTGATCTGAAGCTCGTCCAGGAGCAAAGGCCTCTCGTCACGCAGGAGGTTGCGCTCGACCGCGGATCGCAGCATGTCCGGGCTGGACACCATGACGAACTCGTCCAGACCCACGTCGCGGGCTACCATGGCTGCCAGGCAACTTGCCAGGGGAGTTTGCGGCTGGACCTCGGGGTCTCGTTGATGAAGTCGGTCATCAGAAGTTGGCGATGGCGCGACACCAGCAGGCTCTCCACTTGCAACTGGTCATCCTGCACCTGCTTGCGGAGCTGCAAGAGGGCCCTGCTCTGCAAGTGCACGAACTCGTCCTTGTTTTTCGGCAGGCGCTTGCCGGAGTTCAAGGCCCTGTTGCGGAGAGAACTCTGGCGCCGGAGGTGCGTTTGCTGCAACAAGGCCGTCGTAGTCGCCCCGACTCATGGCCCGCATGGTCCCCTTCTGCTCCAAGCAATTGGCCATCAGCTTCACGACATCGTGAAGCTTCCCCTTGCCAAGCTTGTAGAGGTGGGTGGGGGGCAGCAGCTTCATGGTGGGCTTGTGGAAGAAGACCCACAAGTTTGCCTCTTTCGGGTCGAAGCGGCCGACGTCACAAAAATGAGCTTGGCCCACTTTGAAGAACTCGTCAATGCCGGCCAGGAGCCCATGGGTGAAGACTGCCCGCCGACGGAATTGGAGCAGCGTTTGGTGGAGTGGTTGGATTGCCGCGCAGCCGCCCCGGATGCTCCGCCCGTGAAGCCTCAGTCTCGAGGTAACCACTTTCTTGCTGCCAAGGGCCGACGGGGCCGCGAGAGGATTTCATGAGGAACAAATGGGCAGAGCCTGCTTGCAGCCGATGCTGTCGTAGGACAGTATCTCCCGCATGTTGCCCAGGGTCTCGAGCACGCGAGTCCCCATTCTCACGGAGTGCGGAAGGACGGTAGACAGCACCAGGTTCGCTGCCGCCTCGCGCGCCTCGCGCTTGCACTCGGAGAGAGTCGCCATCGCAGAGCTTGCTTCTCGAGCAAATAGTGGCTTGTTGAAAGCCAGCTGTGTTTAAACCCTACAGGCACCAGCGCGCCCGCCGCGAAAAAGCTCTGACGGCATAACCCGTTTGAACGCACCCCGGAAGCTGCACGACGACGCACATACGACAGCAGATCACGGAGGCCGCGGACGGCGGCGCCCGGGCTCGCACGGGGGCGGATGGAGCCGTCGTGCTGAACCTGCGGCGCGGACCCGGCTGACTGACCCGGGCGGGCCAGCACTACTACTCCCACCTGGGCCGCGGCCGGTCTGCTACCATCATCATCACCGTCATCTTCCGCATCATCATCACCATCCTCATCATCATCATCTCCTCACCACAGGCACGGTGCGGTCCTGGACGCAAGCCAGTCTGATGAGCCAGCCTGATGCTTGAACAAGCCAGTCTGATGCTTGAACAAGCCAGTCTGATGCGTCCACAAGC